GAAGGGAATTTGAGACAAAATAATTCGCTGGCTGGGTGCAAGAACCCTACAAGCGCCAATTTGCAAATTGGCACTTGTAGGGTTCTTGCATCCAGCCAGCGAAATGCACTTTGTATAAATTTTGAAATTTGAGAACATATTGACTGAGTTAATCCTTGTTTCCAAAGTTTGAGATGTCCCTAATAGGAACTGTTGAGTTAAAACATTTCTGTCTGTGCTTTCAGCGGTGACGGGATTGTCTACCACCTTGATGAAGCTGTGGGCGCCCTGGAGATCTCGCACAAACTGGTCATATCAAGCAAGGAGTTCCCAGGTACGTGCTGTCTGTGAATATAGTTGGACCTGTCCGAGAAGACTTCTCATTGTCAAGGGGAAAAGCTGTCGGCAGGTGGTTGGCGGGTGATCTGGTGTGGTTTGCTTCTTCTTTCCTATCAAATATCTATCATCTCTTTTTCTCTCCTCCGTCTTTTTTGTGTTTGTTACTCTCTTGTAACACCTCAAATCTTCGGCCTTTATATGACCTCATTGTGTTGCAAGTGCAGTAAAACACTTACTAAAACTTTTTTAAAGTGGTCGTCTTTCTCCTTCTGTCATTTGGAATGCTGCATCTTTCTCAGCTTGTGTTTGTTCTGAAAGGCGCAGTTGAAATAACCTGCCTCCCGAATGAGATCAAAATTGTGTCAATAGGGCCATAAAACATTTACAGTTACAGTTTTTGACTACTGGAGTAGAATTCTGCTGGTGGTTGGTGTGCATCTGGTTTGGTCGTGTGGTCGGCCAACATGAGGGGAGACATGATGCCATAAACGCACAAGATGATTTTAACCTATTTTTAGAATGGGGGAGCTAAAAGAGACCTTTACCCTTGGGTTCAGAAGGTTAGTTGAATCGACGGGAAAAAGACAAACAACATACATGATAAAGTCAGCATTTTATGCCATTATAAAGGTGTTTGGGTGTTTTTTTTCTCTCCTGTTGTGTGTAACAGATGCGGGCCTGATCGCCGGCTCGGTGACCTGCATGAAGTGGACGCCGGACGGCACAGCTCTGGCCCTGGCCTGGGCCAACGGAGGTCTGTCCCTGTGGAGTGTGTTTGGCTCGCTGCTGCTGTGCACGCTGGGCGGGGATTACAGGTAAACATACACACAGTGGGTTTGTGTGAGCTATTGAACAGGGGGTTTGTCTGAACTGTTGAATGGATGGGGACTACAGGTAAACACACACACAGCGGGTCTAGGATGTCTGAGTTGTTGAATGGGTGGGGACTACAGGTAAACACACACACAGAGGGTCTTGGATGTCTGAACTGTTGGATGGGTGGGGACTACAGGTAAACACACAGTGGGTCTTGGATGTCTGAATTATTGAATGGGTGGGGACTACAGGTAAACACACACACAGTGGGTCTGTCTGAACTGTTGAATGGGTGGGGACTACAGGTAAACACACACACAGTGGGTCTCTCCATGGTGGAGATGTTTGAACTATTGAAGATTTGTGGTGTACGTGGTCTAGTGGTAAGGCTCTCACTCTCAGCCATAAGGTGATTAGTTTGAATCTCATCAGGGGCCCAACGTTGTGTCTGTGGGAAAGGTACTTTTCTTTAAAATTTCCTAACTTCACCCAGGTGGGAATGGGTACCCAGTTGTTAACAGTGAAAGATTTTGTTAGTGTCTGAGTGCTTAATCAGAATCCGCTGTGGGCAGAATAAAGCTTATTTTTTGCGATGTTACTCTTCGTTAAATTATTGTTATATATCCCCCCCCACCCCTCCAATCAATCGACACAATTCAAATAGTGTTTATGATGCAGACTGCTCGAACCCTTCCCACCTGTGCCCAACCGAGGCTGCGTAAGTTACTTCAGTTACCTGCTCCCAGCAGAAAGGAGATTCTCATGATGAATATTTTCTCTTCAGGAATCAAACTCATGTCCTCTGCTTGTCAAGAAAAAGAACATATTGTTGCACCAAGGACTCGTGCTTGTCAGCTCTCTTTTTGTTACATTTAAACAAATGAATTCGACATTTGAAGGATAATTTACAAGTCTTTCAACTGCTTTTCTGGAATTTATAAAACTGAGCAAAACAGTTACGTCTTGATTTTTATGTTTCTCACCTTCTACATGATCCTGGGTCCTCACCTAATCCAGTGTGTGTGTCTGTGTGTGTTTGTCAGTCTGTCCACCGACACAGGAACACTGTCCCCCCCCCTCC